ACTAGCACTGCAAATAAATTCATTTTAAATCACAGGCTTGAAGTCAGAGGGAGTTTATTCAGTAAACTAGTTCAACTTTCTTTATAATCCAGGAAATGTTTTTCTAACACTCTTGTTGGAACCCTAAGTAGGAGTGAGCTCTCCATTTTAGAAGGTAGTCAATGAAAATACAGGTTCTAACTTCTTTTAAGTTGAATCCTGTTTTCCCTGTTGACCAAAGTTCTGATGCCTGAAATAATGGAGAAACAATTTAGGTAGACTGATGAACTCTCTCTTATCTATTAATCTATTTTATCAGACTCAATTTTAAAAATCTATTTGATTTCAAATCAGAAATAACTAAAGATCTCTACATTCTGAATTTTAATAAAGGAGAACCTAATTTGTAGACTGGGTGGAGAAGGGAGATGACACGAAGTAACAGAGCACGCGTGGTGGAGCGGTGGAGAAATGGAGACTGGCCAAGAAAAACCGCCCATTCGCCATCCTGGGGAAACTGCTGACATGACAAAATATGGGTCCAATGTTGCTAGATCTGCAACTTTTCCAAGAGAAGGCCGAAATTCAGAATTTTCATGTGAACTATCCCAATTTTTAAAGTGTTGGCAAATAATTAAATGTTTAAAAGACGGTATAGGCCAAACAAAACAGCTTCGAGGACTGAACTCAGCTGTCGCCCACAAGTGTGCAACGTCAAGCGATCTTATTCACAAGTTTTATTTGAAGAGAAAATATCTAGTTACTATTCTAAACACTAATATACATAAAGTAAAATAACAACATATTGAAAATGTTATTTTATACTTGAAAGAAACTTGTCAGAACAGTGTAAGATTTAAAATTCTCCAAATTTTAGAGTGTCTAGTACCCTCTTCACACAAACACAAGATTTGCACAGCAAATTAACTCCTTAAAGAATGTTCAATAAACTTAACACATTTTTTAAACCTGCAAATTCAAAGAATAAATCTCTAGCTAGGCAAGATCAACTAGTTGGCAACATAATTTTAACAACCAGCTTGACTTTTGTTATGGTTTGTCACTTTAGCTGATGGTGTTGTAGAATCTTTCAATTCTCTTGAATTGTTATCCTCTGCTCTTATCTTAATTCATGAGAAAGGATGGTATACTTTCATTGACGGAATCATGTATTTGATTACGGGTATATATATATATACGATGTGTGTATATATATGACATTCAATCATATGCTTGAAATTGATTTTCAGGGTTAATGGTAAAAATTGAAAATGGGAAGATTAATCCTCTCTTTAATGGCCAATTTAAATATTAAAAATATATTTTGTAAAGATCTATTAAAATCAATTAGATTTCACTTTTTAATGAAAGAAAGAACAAAAGAGCAATTATAAGCATATCACTATAAAAATGCTCAGAACCATTCAATTTTTTCACACATCATTTTTTTACATCCAGAGCATACTGCTTTGGACTCTGTGCCAAAAAAATGAAGACCAACTTGGATGTGAAATAACAAAAGATTTATATCACATACAAGTAAACATTTCAATAAACTCGGAGTCAGAGAGAGTGCAGGAGATGTAACAACCAGATGTTTAATTTAAATCATTGATAGAAATAGTCAGCGTCTTCTTTTCATAAACCACTTGGATTTTATTTGTATTCAAAAGCAATGGTAAATGTCAAGTGACTACTAGACCATCCTTCTGAATACAAGAAAATACCATGCTGTTTAACGCTCTACACACAAAAAGTGCTTTTAGAAAAACAAAGATAAAGAACAGCATGTCTTAGTCACACAGATCAATTCAAGAACCTAAAAATGCTCAAAGCTACCATGAGCACAACAATAAAGACCTTCAATTACTACATTTTTAAAAACTTTGAACTTCAGAAAAAGTTTACAGGTAAGAACTTTAAAATCCGGAATAAATTGTATGTCTAAGATCTGAGAAGAGTATCACAGTTTATCTTCAGGCCAGAAATCATTTATTAAAGCTAGCAGCATTAAAAATAGATCCCTTTTACATATACTACATATAAGAGATTATCAAAAGGTTTTATCATGCTTTAATTATGAAAGAGAAGAATGAGATTCATTTGTTAAAAAGAAAACTAAAAATTTTACATACAAATATTATTTGTGTGTGAATGCCAACTATGAAATGGAAAACTGACTCATTAGCTATTTGATTTTTCTTATTTGTCTTCACCAGTTTTTACTGCAGCAATGACAGAAAAATACATCCATCGGAAAAGTCAAGCAAATGGGATACATTTAATAGAAATAGCATAACCTTCCACTGAACAAAAGACGCTGAAAGAATTAAATGAAAATGTGCAAAGTGCCATTAATTACCTGGGTGATAAAGGTTACTTTTCTCCCCTTTATCCTTACATGGCTCACTATTAGCTCACCCAGTAAGTCTTATGTCACCTAAAGAGCAACCCTGGAGAGCAGCAGGGACTCAGTGCCCCACAGTCTGAGACACAGTACCAAATATTTAGTAGGGGGTTCATAAATGCTTCTGATTTACTAGAGGATAATAATAATGAGCAGATGTAAAAGAGATGCTAATTGATAGGCTAAATGCATTAGTGCATCCAAGTGCCCTCTGTATGAAAGGTTACTAACCCATCTGAGCTAAGTGAACAAATTATAATTAAGTCTGATGGGAAGTCCTAGATTTATACCAATATAATTACAAATATTACTTAGCTTAGTGAAAGAGTATGGCAAGAACAATGAGATGAGTAATTTAGATGATACTGCAAAGTGGGTTTTAATGTCTGAAACATCTCTTACAGTACACAGGGTGAGTGCAGGCAGTGTAATTAAAACCTGCGGGTCTGAGCTTTAAAACGACGGTTCAACCTCATCAAGATGCATGTTTTCTCAATTAATCCAAACTTTTCCATTAAAAACACAAAAATACACTTTCATTCCTTGCAAATAAATCTCTACAGTACACATAGTTAGGATCAAATACCAACAGTTATGTAGAAAGAAACGGATTAAAACAGCAAAAGGTTTGAGTAGATACAGCCTAACAAAGGGAAGAAAAAGCAAAGTGAGAACTGCCCAGTTTTTCATTTGTAAATACTGAAATCCTGAATATCTTTGTTTACATGACACAAATCTAAGCAAACTGTTTACTTAGGGGATAACACTTATAATCATATATGGACTGTGTCTTAAATATTCTCCAAGTACTGACTCCTCGACCCAACAGGTACACAGGAAACAGGTGGGATGAAAGACAATCACCGACACAATCATTCTGCTGCAGAAACAGTTTTCTCCTTTTAACCAGATGCGTTACTAGACAGTTTATCTGAATATCAAGCTAATGGTAAACACCTATAACCACAGGATAATGTTTTCATGTATTTTATTTTATTAATTGTTATTAAAAAAACACTTAAAAGATTATTTTAAAGTTGTCATATAATTTGTTATGAAGAATGTTGATCATAGAGAAGAATTTTATTTTTTAAATTTATCTTTATTGTTTGAAGTCTTACAGGTGTCCCTCCTTTTTTCCACATTAAAATTTTTATCAATTTCCTTTAGATTTCGATATACTTCATACAATGACTATCACTCAAAAACAAAATTTTTAAAAAGTGATGACCATGTGCCCATTCTAGATAAGTAAATTTTTCAAGAAAAATTTTACTAAAAGCCAAGTCAAAAGTTATCACATAATTTAAAGAATAATGAAGGGTAATTTAAGAAAATGTCCTTCGAATTTGCCATGATGGAGAAAAAGACCCAACATGATTTTATTTTTAAAGTATAAAAGGAAATTAAGTGGAGGGAGATGAAACCTATATAATTTTATTATTCAGTATCATCCCAATAAGTTTAAGTTTTTAAAAAGTGGAAGGGGGCCCTAGCCAGTTTGGCTCAGCGGTTAGAGCATCGGCCTGTGGTCCCGAGAGACCCGGGTTCGGCTCCTGCTAAGGGCGTGTACCTCGGTTGCAGTTTGTCCCCGGCCCTGGTTGGGTCATGCAGGTGGCAGCCACTCGATGTGTCACTTTCACATCGATGTTTCTCTCTCTCTCTCTCTGTCCTCCTCTCTCTCCCTCCCTCTCTATCTAAACATAAAATGGAAAAATGTCCTGAGGTGAGGATTAAAAAAAAAAGTAGAAGGGGAAACTGTCTTGAAATTAAAGCATTATCAAATACAAACAAATAATTGCTGCTATTTGTGAAAAAAATTAAATCTAAATAGGTTCTCATTTTAGCTAAAATAGTACTTTCAAAATAGAAAGCAAAATACTTATGGTGGTCTATCTTAAAAAATAAATTTTTCTTGAAAAGTTACTGGGCAAAAACTTATCTCATGATATATTTAAGAACCTACCTAAACAAATCAGTAGTAGTACAGTACTACTTTGCAGTTGTTTTAATTGTGAAAAGAAAAAAAACAGTCTACTCTCAGGAGTTCTTGCATCTTTTTCTTCTCCATGCAATATTTCAAAGAAATATAAGTTTATCACTGTTGATATAAAAAATCTACCCATTACACACGTCTTTATATATTAAATTGTCCATCATATGACTTTCACTTTCAAAACAAATTATATTTATACAGAGAACAAAATATCTTCCTCAAGAAAGGATCTGAATGTATGTTTGAAATAGTTTCTAAGAATCATTTTCCTTGAAAAGTGAACAGTGAAATCAACCACAAGAGTAGCAAAAATATTAAAGTAACAAATAGCGATATATCCTGGATGGGTGACAAAGAAAAAAAATTCAACAGAGAGCTGCTGTTACAACTGTTTAGGCATACATTTGAATTTAACACATGAAAACCATGTTGCAAATACACGCAGTGGATAGATTAAAAATAAACGTACACACCTAGGTTTTCAAAACTTAAACATAACTATTTGAAAGGCATGGCTACATTAAATTTTCCTTAAGCCGTTATAATGGTAATTAGTATTTGGTACATGGAACACATGTTTTCTTCTGGAAACTGTTTTTAAGATGTTGCATTTGTTACCTGTCGTTAATGATCCAGTTCAGACAGAGATTGAGAGAGCTAAGATGCTTGCACCTCTTAACAATTTCCATCACGGTTTCATTATCCAGTTCAGTGATATGACGGAGGTCCAAGCTGGAAAGGTTCCTTAGCTAATGAGATAAATAAAATGAAAGATGAAAAAAGTAAATGCTACATTCATACTCAAAAATTATATCGTTTATTACAAAGTAGAGTATCACTGTACAATATTTAAAATAGATAATTGTCCAGAATCATTTAATTAAACTAAGTATTATAAGCATAATAGTTTATACACTAAATAAGAAATGAGAGCAGAAATCTATGGTGAATATATATATAAACGACAGCATATTAAAACCAAACAGATTTTGTTGAGGCATACTAAAAATAAAAAACTAACAATCTAATATAAGGGGAAGCTGTTAAATATATTACATTAAGTACCCACAACTTGATAAAATTATTCTTTTTTTTAAAAAAATCTTATCTTTATTGTTGAATGTATTACAGATGTTCCTCATTTTTCTCCCCATTAACCCCCTCCTCCCCACTCCCGCCTGCCTCCTGCCTCCACACTGTTGTCTGTGTCCATTGGTTATGCATATAAGTTCTTTGGTTTATTTCTTCCCACCCCCAAAACCCCTTCCCTTTGAGGTTTGTCAGTCTACAACCAATTTGTACTTCTTAATCCCTTCACCTTTTTCACCCATTCCCTCAAACCCCCTCCCATCTGGCAACCAACAAAATGTTCTCTGTACTATGAGAATGTTTCTGTTCTGCTTGTTCGCTTTGTTTGTAGATTCAACTGTCCATAGATATGTATTCATTGCCATTTGTTCATATTGTTTTATCTTTTTCTTCAAGAAGACCATTCAGCATTTCATATAATAATGGTTCGGTGGTGATGAACTCCTTTAGCTTTTCTTTGTTTGGGAAACTCTTTATATGGCCATCGATTCTAAATGACAGCTTTGCAGGATAGAGTAATCTTGGTTGTAGGTTCTTGCTTTTCATCACTCTGAATATTTCTTGCCACTCCCTTCTGGCTTGCAAAATTTCCTTTGAGAAATCAGCTGACAGTCTTATGGGAACTCCCTTGTAGGTAACTAACTGCTTTTCTCTTGCTGCTTTTAAAATTCTCTCTTTGTCTTGAATCTTTTGCATTTTGATGATGATGTGTCTTGGTGTGGGCCTCATTTTGATGATGATGTGTCTTGGTGTGGGGTTCATCTTGTTTGGGACTCTCTATGCTTCCTGGACTTGTATGTCTGTTTCCTTCCCCAAGTTAGGGAAGTTTTCTGCCATTATTGTTTCAAATAGGTTTTCAATTTCTTGTTCTCTCTCTTCTCTTTCTGGCACCCCCAAGATTCGAATGTTGGCATGCTTAAAGTTGTCCCTGAGGCTCCTTACACTAGCCTCATTTTTTTGGATTCTTCTTTCTTTTTGCTGTTCTGATTAGGTGTTTTTTGCTTACTTATATTCCAAATCGATGGTTTGCTTCTTGGTTTTACCTACTCTACTATTGAATCTGTGTAAATTATTCTTTATTTCAGTTAGTGCCTCCTTCATTTCTGACTGGTCCATTTTGATGCTCTTGAGGCCCTCACTAAGTTTGCTGAGGTTCTCATTAAGCACATTGAGCATCTTTATAAGCAGTGTTTTAAACTCAGCATCTGTTACGTTGCTTATCTTCATTTCACTTAGTTCTTTTCCTGGAGTTTTGTTCTGTTCTTTCATTTGGGACCTGTTTCTTTGTCTCCTCATTTTGGCTGCCTCCCTGTTTGTTTCTATGTATTACTTAACAAGAGGTACGGGGCTAGCTGAGACCAGATGCTGCTTGTTGAAAGAATTTAGAAAAACCTGAAGCAAGATCCAAGACAGGCCAATCCTATGATAAAGCAACTGGCAACAGCTTGGGTGGGCCTGAAAGTTGAGTGGGGCAGGGCCTCAGGGAATCACCAGGGCAGGGCAAACAGTGTCAGACAAGTTGCTGGAGTCCCGGATATAGTAGCTGTCTGCCACGCCAGGGAAGGGCTCACCAAAGGAACAAAGGCCTCTGACAGCATGTCTGTCCAGAAGAAAGCCCCCTCTCCAGCCCTCGATCCAAAACCAAACAGCTCAGTTCTTCCCTGTATGTTGCTGGTGCTTCCCCTCTGAGTTTAGAGGGAGCAAATTGATAAGTCCATGCGCGGGCCCTTTAAGAGGAGCTGCCTGGGGCTCCAGCAGCCTCAGCCTCCCTGAGCCTCAGTTCCCGCTGGTTTTTCCAGCCAGAAGTTATGGGGACTTCTCTTCCTGGCACTGGAACCCTGAGTGGGGTACCTGGTGTGGGACGGGGACCCCTCAGTCCTCAGGGAGGGCCTTCCCAGCCCAGGTGTTCTCCTGATTTTTATCCGCCACACTTGGGTGTGGGACCAGCCTGTCCTCCTCCGCCCCTCCTACCAGTCTCGATGTGGCTGCTGCTTTAATTCCGTAGTTGTAGGACTTCCATTCAGCTTGATTTCAAGTGGCTTTGAATGACGGTTGTTCTGTAGTTTAGTTGTAACTTTGATGTGGTTGTGGGAGGACGCGATTCCACGTTGACCTCCCCGCCATCTTGACCGGAAGTCCCTGATAAGATTATTCTCTTTAACATTGTTCAATTTCAGATATTTATCTTCATGATTATGATGCCACTTTCGCATAGTTTTTTCATTTTTTAAAATATGAAATATGAGTTAAGAGATATCTTGGTGCTATTTTTTATCAATGTACTCTGAACTGTACTATTATGGGCTGTGTGTTTCACCATGTGGAAAGCCATATAACAAGCTGTTTAAGAAGTAAAGATTTTCCCTAGGTACTACTTTCCTACTTTCTTCGTTTTCTCTAATCTTTTCCTGATGTTTCCTGTCTTCCCCTGATGTTTTGTCTCTAAAGAAAATTAATAATATCATTTACACAAAGATGGTAGGATCTTAATTATCCTCTTCAAATAAACTACATTTCACATAAGCTACTTTTGCTTAATAACACTTACTTGTAAGAGGGTCTAAGAAAGAAATGCAACTCCAATTGAGACTTTAACTATAGCCTGTGATACCCTAAGCAAAAACCAACTTGTACTGTCTGGACTCCTGACCCATGGAAACAGTAAGATGATAAATGTACATTGTTTTAAGCTGCAAGTTTCTGGCAACTTGTCTAGCAATAAAACATCAATACGGAAGGTCTGTAGGGAACTTTGCATCCTTGAGGATAAGCCAGGTGGCTCTTAAGACAAGGGGAATATCCTTAGTCACTTTAAACACGGAAGCTCGCTGCCCTTCTTTAGATGCATATGCTCACAAAAGCACAGAGGAAAATGCTTGGTCCGTTCAGCCCTCCTCCACGTGTATATTCAGCCGCCAAAAATGTACTTTCTTGGGAGACAGGTAACTCTGATGTGGCAATTCTTGTTTTGTTTTTTTTTTAACTAATTTTTTTTCTTCATTGATTTTTAGAGAGAGGAAGGGAGAGGAAGCGAGATATAGAAACATCAATGACAGAGGACTCATCAGTTGGCCGCCTCCTACATGCCTCCAACTGGGGATTGAGCCCAGAACCTGGGCATGTGCCCTGACCGAAAATTGAACCGGAGACCTCTTGGTGCATGGGGCTATGCTCAATCACTGAGCCACACTGGCCGGGTGTGGCCATTCTTTTTCTATATAAAAACCACAATTTTCTCAAACTACATTATTATTTCTTTTTCTTTTTTTTTTTTTTTTGGTACATGCCCCTAGTGGGAACCGAACCCAGGACTCTCTTGTCCATAGGCCGATGCTCCAACTACTGAGCCAAACCGGCCAAGGCAAAACTACATTATTTTTTCAGTTAGCTTATTTTACAGAACATTTTTAATTCCAACACCCAAAAACTTTTTGTGGTTGGAGATGTACTGTTCTGAGAACATGTAAAAAACCAAATAGCCTCTTTGAATGGCAGGTGCTGGGCAGCTTGCTGGGTTCATGTCCTGACAGCAGCCTCGTGTCTGTTCCACAGCAAAATCAGAACTATATGAAAAGGACCTATAGCGCTGCTTGAAAATACTTTGAAGCATGACTGTGAATGTTAAGGATGGATTTTGCTAGACATATGTGAACTGTTAAATACAGCCACACACAACACACGAGAGCTTCACTGTGTTTTCCCAATTATCACTAGGAAGTCATATAATCATCAAAATTTTACCCAGCCACACAAGTATCTCCTCTACATGTGTATTTGAAGATCTAGCACAGCTTCTGACACGAGATTTCTATGTGAATTCTTACATATCTTTTAGCGTCTTTCACTGTAAAATATCCCTGTCACCACAGTGCGAATGTACTTAATATCAATAAACTATACACTTTAAAATGAGTAAAAAGGTAAACTTTACGTTATGCACCTTTTACCACAATAAAAACAATCATTTCATCCACCAGGACACCGCAGGAACATACAATAAAGTTCCACAGAGAAGGTTTTAAGTCATTGGTGTCAGCTCAGTCCCCTCACACCAGGGAAGATGACTGAGAACCAGAGAGGTCTGAAAAACTATTCAAGTTCAGAAATAGGGAGAGAGATGTTAGCAAGTCTAAACTATCTTACAGACTTGGGAAAGTTGTAAGATATCTTCTAGAACAATGGAATAGCAAGGAGTAACCATTCCAGTAACTATTACACGTGACAAAACTCTAATTCTAGCTGACTGGCCCCTGAGCTCTTGGAAGTCCTGCAGTCAGGCCCACTCCTTGCTGCAAGGGGGGTCAGGTGACGACACGGGGCCACTGGGGCTGATCTGCCCTGTACTTATTGTCCGTAAAGGGAACATTTCTTACCCTTTCAATGGAGCACAAACACATGCATGAGGAAATAGTTACTTGGGTTCCCACATACCAGCATTCTATTGAGACCCTGAAGGGTGTTTTACTCTTGGATTCAATCACAGCTCATCTTGTCACTGACTACGCGCACGTGACCTTCCCTATGACCATGTTAGCAGTCAACTGGAAGCATGACAGTATCCAGGGGCAGTCCAGGGAGACACATGCTGAGCACCTCTGGCTGCAGCACTTTCATTCAAAATTCCACAAACAGCCCCATCAAATCCATCATGTTCCTTCCT